GAGGAAAGGCTGAGATGCACAATGTCCTCACCTGCTTGCTTCTTGTAAGTGGAGGTTCAGCAGCAGCTCCACTTGTGATTAAGTCCTCCAAAACCCTTCTTCTTTCTTTCTGATCAGGACACTGGATAGTGAAACCTTCTCCAAAGTAAATATTAAACAATATCTGTACCTGAAGCCCAAGGAGAAAACATGTTTCAGATTTAAGACCACAAAACAATCCTATTCTATTCCAATACAACTTCAATTCTCATTTAAGTTTCGTGACTGACATTTAAGCCACCCTGCTATGGATAGGTTAAAGCCATGGGGGAATGGGAGGGGAGGGGTGAGCCTTCTAGCCCAGGATCCCCTTTATAGCCCACCCCACAGCCCCCATCACCCTATGGCCCCACACAGTAACTTATGGAATCACATCTTCCATACACCTCCTATAGGCCCATATCTCCCTATATTCCCCCATTGCCCCTCTAAGCCCCTCTATGTCCCCTCCACAAGCCCCTATAGCATAGCAACCTTCTCTATAGACCGTCCCCAGCCCCCTATCATCCTATAGACCTCCCCACAGCCCACCACAACCCCCTATAGTCCCATTAACCCTTTAAAGGCAGGGGGGAGCTTTCTAGCCCCACAACCCTTCTAGCCCACCCTATAGCCCCCTATCACCCTATGGCCCCATCGACCCCCTATAGCACTATATCACCCTATAATCCTCCTATAGACCATCCACTGCCCCTTATAGTCCCATATCGCACTAGAACCCTCCTATGGCCTTCCCACTGCCCCTTATACACTCCCCATAGAACTGTGTTACTCCCCCAGTAGCCCTCCTACAGCCCCACATCATACTTATATGTGGAATTTGGGTGTGAGGATATGGATATGGGATATCAGGAAATGGGACAGATATGGGATAAGCTCTGGGTATGGGATGGAATGGATATAGCATCATAGGATCATAGAATTGCTCAAGTTGGAAAAGAGCTTCAAGATCATCAAATCCAACCGCAACCCAACCATGCAATCAATCCAGTCTATCCAGGTCCCTCTGCAGTGCCTTTCTCCTCTTGGGCAGATCAGCGCTCCGATCAGCGCTCCCTCCCAACTTGGTGCACTGAGGGTGCACTCAATCCCCTCATTAAGATCACTGATAAAGGTGTTCAATAGGAGCGGCCCCAGTACCAAGCCTGGGGCAACAGCACTTGTGACCAGCCACCAGATGAAAATTCTACTCTGTGTGTACAGAGTTGGTTGGGTCCCTGCCTGAAGACAAAACTGCCAGGACCCAAAAAGTGTGGGGGCAGAAGAGCCGTGACATAAGAGACATCTTTATGCCTATCCACACAGCAGGCCCAGCTACCCCTGCTTCCGCCCTCCATGGGAACTGTCCCTACTGGAGTCTCTGCTGGCCACAGTGAACCAGGGCAATTCCCCTCCATCTGCCCATGCCTGCTGCCCATCCCCACAGCAATTCACAGTGCTGGGCAGTGCAGGAGAGCTGTGTGAAACATCCTCTGCATCACACTGCACAAAGGACTGCAGGGAGAGAGGAGGGCTGGAGCTGGTGGTGGCAGCTGAGGCACATGGCCATCTGTGGTATCCCATCCTGCCTGGAGGGCATGGGGAGCTGGGGGGCTGTGACACAGCACAAATGACTGCAGGCAGAGGTGTAGCAAAGGGAACACAAAGCTTTTAATAACGTATCATAGAAAACGAGTAATAGTAACAACAATAATCCTAAAATTCCCATCCCAGAACAGTTGATTGCCCAGACAATGTCCCATCCCACTGCAATGCTGACTTTGGAGGACAGCTCAGTTCTGGAAAGGAGGGATGGGGCTGCTGGTGGTGCCTCTGGAACTCTGCCACTGCTGTGGGGCCGGTGAGGAGCGCAGGGTTAGGGGTAGCCGTACTGGTCGGCTATGGCCATGTCTATCTCCCGCTGCAGCAGGAACTGCACAGGGCCGATCTTCATCTGCTGGGCCGCCCGCCGCCGCTCCTCCTGGGCCAGCTTCTTCATGCGCTCCCGCTTGGGCTGCTGCTCAGCTGTGATGGGCAGTGACTCCTCCATCACTATGGGTGCTGCACCACTGCCCACCCGTGGCCCCACGCAGGGCACAGAGTCCACGGGGTGCTGTGGCCAAGGCTGCTGCTGGTGCAGCTGTGATGGTGGGTTGCTTCGCAGCAGTGAGCTCCTCTGCAAGGATGGGCGCAGGCAGCTTGGCGCCATCTTCTTGGCAGCATCCTCCTTTTGCACTGCGCTGCCTGGAGGTGCTGGCACTGCCTTGTCTGTGTTGCTGTCTTGGGGATAGAGGGCAGCAGGGACAGTGCTGGGTCGGGGTTGGGGCTGCACAGAGGGTGGCTGGCGCACCGGGCCCACCACAGTCACCCTCTGCCCCAGCGGGTGCACGGCCTGGATGGATTCACACAAGTGCACGCGCAGCTCGCTGGCAGTGCTCACTTGCCCGCTGCTACTGGCTCCTGCGCTGGCCCCAGACAGCTTCACTTGGCACAGGTGTTTGCAGCCTTTTCTCTCTTTTCTTTCTTTGCATGGCAGCAGCTTCCTTTTCTTGGCTGGGGCACTGCTGGTGGGCTGCTCCTGCTGGGAGCTCTCCCCTTTCTGGGTGTTGCCAGCAGGCACAGGGTGCTTGGCCCGCTTGGTGCTGCCCCTGTTCTTCTTTTCTGCCACCCGGCTGGGGACAGAGACTGGTGACAGGGGCGAGTGAGCCTGAACCACTTGGGGCTCCCTTTGCTGCACCTCCTCGATGGGCTGTGCTGTTTGGACTGAGGGAGATGTGATGACAGCCAGGGAGGTTGGCAGTGGATTGAGCCGGGCACTCGCTGAAGGCACAACAGGGCACAGCTGCGACAACCCACTCTGCAGTTCAGACAGGAACCCAGGGGATGGTGGAAGCCCCCAGAAGGGGTTGGTGGGCATCCCGGTGGCAGCCTGTGCCTCCATGCAGAGCTCTCTGCTGTCCCTGGGGTTGTCAGGGAGCTCAGCGATGAAGCATCCTGGGGCAGGGCTGCTGGGGTTCTCATGGGGGACCTCAGCAGCTCTTGCCACATCTGAAAATGCAAGAACATCCCCCAGAATGGTGATGATAGGGTTCCCACACCCACTCTGTGCAAACACACACCTGCAGCTCTGCAGCCCCCAAACTCACCACTGATCCAAGAGAGCAAACCCTGGATGTCTGTGATGTCCTCCGGCACATCTGAGCTGGTCACCACTGCTGGGAAAAGCAAGAAAAACCCAAAGGGTCAATGCCAGCTCTCCCGTACCATGTTCTCAGTAAGAGATCTCAGGTGATCGTTGGGTTCCCATTATAATCAGGACAGGGATTAAGACCCCAAGCAACACGCAATGAGAACAGTCCCAGGAAAGAACAGACAGAAAGCCTAACTAGAAAGACAGTGCACCAAACCCAGATGCCTGTTGTGTGTCTGTACCTCTCTTGGGTGCTGTGCCACACTCTGTGCTCCTCCCCTGTCTTTGCACATGGCTGCGCTTCAGAGGAAGGCTGCTTGCATCAGCTTCTGACAGAAAAGAGACAAGACAGACGTGAAGAACATCTCTTTGGAGGAAGATCTGAGCACTGCCAACCACAAACTTCTGGTCTTCAAGAGCAGTTTTGTCGATTTGCCTTTCTGCTGCTACAGCCTTGTGCCATTTCTGCAGTCAGCACAGAACTGCAGCATCCTTTCCTCTCTCCTCCATCACACACAGCCCTTCATGCAGCCCTGTTTAGAGGCAGGTACCCACACCACAGCTCACAAGAGCTTCTTACCTGTAGAGGCTTTCCATTTTCCCCCTTGCCCCACACCATTCCATTGATGCACAGGCTCCATCCCTACAACAACAGATCATGTATTGATTTCACAGACACCAACAGGCAGCAGAAGTATTGTCCAGTAAGCCCATGTGCCCCCAGAAAGCAGAAAGATGCTACTTTGACAGCCCAAACAAAAAACTAATAGTTCACTTCTCACTGCCCCTTCCTGCACTCCAAAGGGATGCTTACTTAACATCCCCTACAGCACTGCAACTGCAATCTTCAACTGCCTTGATCCCAGTCTCCTTTTGTACAGGAACCCTACAGAAAGTATCAACAAGTGAAAAATCATGAGGAAGAAGCATTGTCCTACCTTTCTTCTGCCATGCAATGTACTCTCTCAAGGAGAGCTACGTCTGGAAATCAGCTGGCTGCAAGAACTGCCAGCCCATCATTAGCTGCAGCTTGTGCCTGACTGCCATGGCTTCTGTCAGCAAGTGCCCCCAGGTCCCCTTTTCCCCCACAGGTGTGCTGACCATCCATGTCCCCAGCTGAGCACCTGGCCCTCTGCTGTGACTTCAGCGCAGTTTGCTGAAACACCTGCTGGGTATGGCACACCAAACAATCCATGGAGCAGTGAGACACAAGATGCACTCTGTGAAGTCTGCGCTCTGCTTCCTTTTTAACGTCTGACATGAAGGTGGGGGCCTGGCAGCAAGCTTCCAGGGGAAACTGCCTTTTCATCATCCTCACTGAATCGTGGGATGGAATCTCAAGAAGAACATGTTTCCTCTGGATACAGCCATTCAGAAGGGCACCACTGGAGCTGGGAACTCCTCCCCAGCCCAGTTTTTCTGCTGAGATACCTCCTGGCAACCACCCAGCACCAAACCCAGCTCACCTGGTCAGCCTGCTCAGCCTGAGCTGTGCCCAGCTCACACACACATCGCAGCGGTGCTTCCAATGGGCTCTCAAAGGATGATCTCTCTCAAGAAAAGCACAGAGCTCAGTCTCCGTGTGCAGCACGCTCACGACAGCACCAGCTCTGTTCTCCAGCTGTGGGACAAACACTCCCACCCTGGCAACGACTGTGACCTCAGTGAGTGCCTGCATCACTTCTGTGCTTTCATCACAGGCAAAGGAATGGTCACCTCCCAGATCCAAATTTTAGGAAACCAACACCAGGGCCACCCAGTGGGGTGAATGGGGTTAATTGAATAGGGGTTAATTGAAGTAAAGCAACAGAGAACTGAAGATGAGTCTTGTGCAGCCCAATAAAAACACAATATGGCCTCGCAGCGGTCAGCCGAGTCCCAGAGGAACTAGTAGGAACTGGGAGGAGTGCACACCAGTATGGACCAGAAAAGTCCAGTACAGCTAAGTAAAAAGCAGTAAGGACCAGTATGGCCTTAGAGTGGTCAATGGAGTCCTATAGGAATCAGTAGAAACCAACAGGAAGGCACATCTGTGTGCCCCAGGCCTGGTTCCGGCCTCTCGGGCTGTGGCTGCACCTTCAGGCCCCGGGGCCAGCGTAGCCCTCTGTGGCTGTGGTTTAGACCCGAAGCTGGTGCTGGCCTCTTGTGCCGTGGCTTTAGGCCCTGGAGCCGGTGTCAGCCTTTCAGGCTGTGGATTGAAGTCCCGCAGACAGTGCCGGCTTCTCCAGCTTCGGCTTTAGGCCACAGCAGTGGTGCCAGCCTCTCTGGCTGTGGCTATGGCTTTAGGACCTGGGACCAGTGCAGGCCTCCCTGGACGTGGCTTCAGGCCCCAGGACTTTTGCTAGCCTCTCTGGCTGGGGCTCTAATCCCCAGGGTCAGTGCTGGCCACTCAGACTATGGCTTCAGGTCCCATGGCCAGTGCCAGTCTCTCTGGCTCTACTTTTACACCCCAGAGACAGTCCTGGCTTCTCCAGTAGCATCTTTAGGCTCCAGGGCATGTGCCCCTAACTGGGGCTGTGGCTTTTAAGACTGGTTCCAGCCTTTTGAGCTTTGGCCCAAAGTCACCAGGACTGGTACCAAATTTTAAGAAAACAACATGAGGGCCACCCAATGGCATTATCTGAAGTAAAAAATAGAGAAATTAAGATGACTCTTGTGTAATCAGTCTGGGTCATCCTCTCACTCAGGCATCGAACGATCACACCCAGGAAATGTCCCCAGGCTGTCCCCAGATTGGAGGCCGAAAGGATTTGGGCTTCCAAGCAGTCAGCAAGCATTTGGATGAGTCAGCCCTCTGGTTTTTCTGAGGACAGACAAGTCCTCCTTGGAAAGCCATCCCGGCAAAGGCAGAATAGCTCTGTTCTCAGGCCACAGCACTCCACAGCCAGGCACTGCTCAAACACTGGGCCTGCATTTCTTTCTGGGCATCCACATATGCTCTGAGCCTCAGCGGGGTTTGTAGCTTCCTGCTGAGGAGCTCCTCGTGTTCTTCTGCAACTGCTTCCCAACATCACTACTGCCTTCTCTGGTACTCTACTGGCAGATGCTTTAGAGTCCATTAGCCTGAACTTTCTTCCTACCATCAGCACCTGCTCCTACACTGACCTTCATTCACACTGGCATACCATCCACATCTAGCACCAGCTGACCTGCAAGACAGAGAGAGGAAATGTGGCATTAGCACAAATGCAGAAGCCGAAGGCTGTGCCACCACCACATTCTGCAGCCTTGGGAAGTCAGCTGCAACTGCAACCTTTGTCAAAATTAAAACAGGCACTGTAAATTAAGTGTGACTTCTGAACTGAAGTAATTGCCACAATCATTATTTCACAATCAAGAAATAAATACTGAGACTGCTTACTTAACTGTAGGTGGTTACTTCTGAATTCTTTTGCTGTTGGGAAAATATGGGCTTGGAATTGAAGGATACAAGAAAAATCAGGAGCACTTGGCAACTAAGGCAATTGAGCAGTGTAGGGAAAATTGTTGCATTTCTTCTTTTCCTGACCGAGAAATTAATTTTCCTATCTTAAAATGAAAAGGGGAAAAAAGCCTGACTTAAAGTAGACACAATACAGTCTCACATCATAGGTAGAAGCTGGAGAGCTCTCATGGCACAAAACTCAGGATTGTAGGAATTAAGGTTGCCTCTAAGCTTTAAAATAAGATGAAAGACAAAGTTAAATACAAAACATCAGCACTTCTTCCAGAGCACATCACACACTGTAAGCACCACCTGAGAGGTAACAGTCAGGTCAGAAAGGAAAACCTTACTATGTGAATACAGGGACAAGCTACTCTTCTTCTGGGCCTTTGTTCACAGTGAGGATTTCCCTTAAGAGCACTGCTCAAGCTGCTGCTGTCCTCAGCTGTTGCTCACTTCCACCTACTGGACGCTGTGCCCACAGGTCATTCTGCTTTGGGCAAAGCCTGCTGGGTTAACTCCAAAACAAGGTCACAGGCCACACACTAATCCAGCTGGTTTGTCTGAAAGGGCTCAGAGGCCACACATGGGATCCTTTCTGCTGGTGGTTCTCTCCGGGCAAGAACCTCCACTCTCAGAGCAACAGCCAAGAGCTGGAAGGCAGAAAAAGCTTCCAATCCCCATGGATGTGGCTGTCTGCAAAGACAACAGCTGCCTGCTCTTTAGCAGGGTGATGCACACCAAGCAAAGCGCTCACCCAGCAGATGCCTTTCCTTACACTCAGAACTGTCCCACATTTGTGCAGCCCTTGGATTGCATTTCCAATCCAAGTTCACATATATCTCAACCATTCCTTCTGTGTTAGTATACTTGGATCCCCAGTTAGGGCTGGAGCTCAAGAGGTCAACACAACAGAAATAACACAACATGCATCTCCAAGCTGAGAAGAGCCAACTCTCTGACGCTGGGCACAACTCACCAACCAAGAGCCAGGCTTTGCAAACTTCACTGATCTGAGCATGCAGGGAGGAGAGGGGAGGGGCTGGCAATCAGACCAGAAGTGTCCATTTCAATTGCAGCTCCATGTAGGGAACACCAAACAGTAACAGGTGTGAATGAATTCATTCACAAGGTGCACAATGAGTTTGTTCTTTATTAAAAAAAAGCATGCATTCCCAAGTCAAAAAGGTAACAGCAGGAGTTGATACAAATGGAAAACATTCCTATTCCTACACATCATCCTCCTGCCCCAACTTTCCTTGCCTCATCCCTTACCCCAGCTCCTGGAAAATCCCACAGACTTTAAGTCAGGTCTCAAATCCATAGGACTCCTTTCACATTACTCCATAAAAAAGAAAAAGATTTCACACTTGTTTCATGCACTCAAACTGACCGAGCAGTGGTATCACAATCACTCGTAACACACGGAAGCATCCAAATCCTGAGGATTTTTTTTCCCCTCCACTACCAGGTTCTTCTTAGTACACAAGACTTCTCTTGCTCCTATAAACAATGGCCAGCAGTACAAAGCAAGCAGCCACTGAGGACTCTAAAACAAAGGCCGATCTACAAAGCACATCTGAACTTCTCAAGCACACCTGAGTCACCTCCTTGGCTGATGATGATTTTCAGGTATTTTATGAGCTAGCTGAGAAGAAACATCTTTTTGTGCTGGATTGATTACAGGGATTTTTCAAAAGCCTTCCCTGCTGGCCTCACTCTGCTCCCACCTGAGCACACAGAGCTTAACAATTAATTTTCGTGGTCAATGATTAGAGGCTACTCTCAAAAGCTCCTAACAACTCCTGCCCCAAGGCCAACATCTTCACAGCCATCCTTCTGTCACAGGATTATCCTTAGATATAAGTCCATGACAGGGGGGGCACAGGCCCCAGGAAGGAGAGAGGAAAAAAAAGAGGTACAAACGGTTTGCCATGACCGGCTGGCCCCGGGCCATGTGTGCTCTGGGAGAGGGGGAAGGGCAGAGAGCTAGCGATAGTTTTAACAAAGAGAAAACAACGGCAACGATCTGAGGAGGAAGGGTAATTTACTGAATTGAACTAAATCAAACAAAATGAGAGAAACAAGAGCGTCAAAAAATGAGAATCAAACCACGATAGTGTGAGGGAAAGCACGTGCTTTCTCTGCGGTGAGCTGAGATAGATGAGCCGGAGCCAAACAGAGAGAGCTCCGGGTCCCATCTGCAGCTCCACCTCAACTTCCACTTCCCGCCAGGTCCTCTGGTGATGCCGCCTCCTCCCCTCTCATCAGGATTTACAAAGATTCCACAAAAGGCACTAAACAGAACGAGAACATTCACTCGTTAACTCCCACTGGTCCACATGATGTTCTGATGTGGAATACTGACAACAAAAAGCACGAAACCACAACACCTTCTCATGTGAGTCTAGGAAACATTCACAGCACAGTTTTTCTGAACTATCATATCAGTAACGTTTCAGCAAATAATCCATCAGATGCATTCTGGCACATCTCCTATGAAAAACAGCATTATTCAAACACCTGTGTTTCTAAAGATGAAAAACATCCAGTAAGCAGCAACGAGAGGCTCTATTTTTAAATCTTTCAGTAGGGAGAAGTGTTTATATCCACTTTTCCTGAAAACACAAACATGGTACCAGCTTTCAAAGCCCTCCTGCACAAGCAGACTGCATGTACATTAAAGAGCATGCACATCCCCTCCTGAGGTACTGAAGCCCACAGCTCCCCTTCAGAGCTCCATAGGTTACTGCTGTTTTACACTGATGCACCCTCACTAAAGCTTTGTAGGTGTCAAAGAACGCCTGCAGAAAGCAAGAGGTGGCAGCCAGAGGACAGAACATCAAGTCCTGATGCCATCTGTGCTTCTCCTTAGTATCTTCTCAAGATCTGCCTTCTTCCTCAGACTCTCTGCAAGGCTGCGCTTCAGTGGAAGGCCTCTGCCATCAGTTTCTTGCACAGAGAAATCCAGAAATATTTGAAGAGCATCTGTTTGGAGGAAGACCTTAGCTCAGCCAACCACCACCTTCAAATCTACAAGCATCATTCCTTAAATTTGCCTTTCTGCTGCTAAAATTCTGTGCTTTTCCTACAGCCAACACAAACTGTAGTGTGCTTTCCTCTCCTCCCCTACATCAAACGCACCCTTTCATGCAGCCCTATTCAGATGAAGATACCCAAACTACAGCTCACAGTGTTCTTACCCACAGGGGCTTTCCATTCCCCTCCTTCTCAGTAAGATTCAATCAAATCCCATGCTCCATCCCTAAGACAAAGTGTAATTTTTCCATGTCACAGAAACCGGTCGCCAATAGAAGTCTTGTCCTGTTAACCCACCTCCATCAGAAATCCCTCAAATGCACTATTTATAGAGCCAAAACTAGCTCCTTCTTCAACTAGAATGCACTTACAGAAAGTATTACTGGTCTCATTCCTGCTGAGGTAGTGGCAAATGGACCCAGGTCTGCCTGACAGCTCTACACTGCTCAGAGCAAAGCAGCATGAGGAAACAAAACACTATCAGGTGCGAAAGCTGATGAACACACTTCACTCCTGAGATGCACAGCTATGAGTAGAAGCACCTTCACACTGTTCAGCCTCTCCAAGGAATTCACACAGATTTAAGTACCACCATTTAGACACAGACTCATATCACTCCACAGCCACCAACGGCCACTGTCGGCCTCTCTATTCCTTCCAGTATAGCACTGTCATCAGTCACTCTTTCCACTCAAGACCCTCCTGTTTTCTCAGTTATCTCCCTTGCTACACTAAACAAATGGTATTGCCATTAGCTACCACAACCACCACCAACCAAACCAAAATCAATAGAACTATCAGAAAGACCGAAAAAAAAAAAAAAAAAAATCAAAACCACCCTGTTTGTCAAATGCTCAATGAGCAGTGCACAGAAATAAGAGAGATGATTACTTGGCCTCTGACCTTAAACCCTAAACCTTAACACAAAAGAGTTACCCTCAGCACTTACCTATAAACACAGCACGCTTCTGGATTGTGATAACCCTTAGGAACATAGAACCACCAACATTAAAAACAACTTCTAAGGTCATCCAGTCCAACCATCCACCTAACATCTACATCTCCCAGTAAACCGTGTCCCTCAGTACAATACTGAAACATTCCTCAGGCACCTTCTGGGAGAATGACTTCACCACTCCCCCCCCACCCAAAAGGATAACTCTTGTCCTTTAAGAAAGGGTATCTTGTAACCATAGCCCAGAAGGATAACTGCAGACAAAGGCAATAGCAGATACAGCTGCTTTAAACGAGTCCTAATTTGCACATATACAAAAAAAAAAAAAAAAAAAAGGAGGGGCACAAGCTAGTAAATAAAGACAGAATTGCTTACCCCTATCAGAGCAACAAGGCAAACAAAACACAACAAAAGAGCAGACCTCCAAGCAGAGACCCCCGCTACTGATGAAAATACCCTCACATATCGATGAAAATACTCTCACATCCCTTTAGGGAGGTGGATCCATCTCTTCCAAACAGACACCAATTCGCAAATAGGTTCCCCAGCCACAGAACCTCAGGCCCTGCAACCAGCACCAGTCCCACACTCAATGACTTTATTGCATCACCAGTGCCCTCCTCTTCACGTCTGTCCCACAGCAGCACCCGGGCCCCTGGGCCCCTGACTACCAGCTCGAGAGCTCTGCAGTCACTTTTGATGCCGTTCACACGTCCCCTAGCAGCATCACCTGTGCCCACCTTTCCTGGTGGCCTCACACAGTGATCCACACAAGATATAAGGTTGGGTGCAGCTCCGCCTCCTCTCCAGCACTGAGGGCATTGGAGCTGCATTGGAGCTGTGAGCCCTTCTGCGGGGCAGGAGCCAGGAATTCTACCAGGATTCTCCAGCTTCAGACCATCACCAGATGTGAGGTTGTGCCATGGGGCTGCAGTGTTGGGCCTGCAGCTCAGAAAAGCACTGAGCACTGCAGGGACTAGCAGGTGGTCTGTGATGCCATCAAAGTATTATACACAAACAGTTACAAATATCTGCAAAAGCAAACAAGAACCACATTCTGCTCAGCTTAGAAGACAGAAGCGTAGGGCTTCGGAGGAAGTTGCATTTCAGAGGTTGGTAGGGAATTTCACATCACACAAAGGCACCAAAACCAGATTTTCTACCCAAGTTACCCAGGAGTTCCCCGCACAGTGCTGGCATGATCTGGCACGTGACTCCAGAACAAGGCAGCCCAGTATAAGGCATCAGGCAGTGCTGATGAGATGTGCATTATGGACAGGTCATTCCTTCATAGGTACCGTTCCTGTGACAGCACCTGTCTAGAGTAAGGGCTTAACATAAAAACCTCAATGATTTACACTCCCACCAATCAAGTCAGACACACCAAGACTACGAGGCTGACCTGTAACCAGGCATTGTGCAGTTAGAGTTCCTTCTGCAGTCAACAGAGGCACCTTCCCCACCTCCAGATCTATAGGCAATATACAGACAAAGCACAGCGAGGCTGTTTGTGCTCCACACTCACAGAGAACAAGTTGAAGGACCGTGGAGACGTGGCACTGAGGGACAAGGTTAGTGGGCATAGTGGGGATGGGTTGGGGTTGGACTTGGTGATCTTAGAGGTCTTTTCCAACCTCAATATTTCTATTACTTGGTGACATCTAAACATGATTGCATTTTACATGATTTTCTGGAGTATGGGTGAATCATCTTGCAAAAGCTGAAGCAAGCCTGCATTCTTTCCCTGTAATGACAAGGTTAATTTTTCCCTCTGCAAATTCCTACATTCTATCAAATTAAGCAAATCTGGACACAGGTTTTACTGGTAAATGCAATGGCAGAGGGACAGCTTTCAAGAAATAAGAAAGCCTATATAGATTTGGTCAAAGCATTCTGTTTAAAAAAGGCTTTACTAGCTCAATTAGTATACAAATGGGTGTTGCAAACAAAAATGCATAAGTTATGGGTAAAATGGAACCGCCATTACTCAATCAGAGCATTAATTACCCAAAGTCACTACTCATAGCAATTAATAAGCTATTTAGAGAAAATAAATAAAAAGAGAGAAATACCCATGATCTTCTACTTCTCATGAGCCTGGAAATACAGCAGGCATCCCTTCATCCTCACCACTGCAGTGCCAGCAGTCCCAGCAGTGCCCATCTCCAGTCATGCCCCTTTTGAGTCCCCCTCCTGCCTGATGCAGCCCTGACCAGGCCCTGTTCTGCCCCCATTCCGTTTAGCCCATCCCTGTTCCTGTCCTGTCCCTGATCCTCCACCTTACCTTGCCCGTGTTCCTGTCCCTATCCCTACCCTACCACTATTTCCACACTTACCCTCACCCTTTTCTTTATCCTGTCACTGCCCCTGCCCCTCTCCTTTCCCTTTCCTGCCCATCTCCTGCCCCTGTCCCTATCACTTGTCCTGCCCCTACCCCTACACTTCTCCCTTTCCTGCCCCTCTCCCTGCCTGTCCCTCTCCTGTTTCATTCCCTCCCCTGTCCCTACTCCAGGCTGCTGACAGAACCCCCTGGCAGCCCACCACAAAGTTGAAGGGAAATTGTAAGCCAGGAGAACAGAAGTGTGATGAATGAGAGGGGAGGACAGAGAGGGCAGAAGAGAAGAAAGGATACAGGGAAGAAGAGCAGAGCTAATGGGGCAGGGGAAAGAAGGAGATGGCAGGGGAGAATGGACAAGAGGGAAGAGCAGAAAGGCAGTGAAAATAGGATTTCTTGAAAAGAACTGTTTACAGCTTTATTACAAGACACGATGTCTCACAATAAAGTTGATATTTTCTAATTCCAGAATTACAAAGGATATATAAACAGAGAGGGTTTAAAAAACCAGCAAGAAAGTGCTGAATTCTAAAGCAAAAGACTCAGGGACAATTCCACCTACTGCACTCCCTTTAGAGCCTCAATGAACTTCTCATCTGCTCACAGAGGGCCCAGTGTGAGAGGATCAGCTGCTCTGGGGGAGAAGGATTGGGAACCATATTCCAGTTTGTATCCTTGGAAGGAGATTAGGGAAGCAGCTCCACGTAAAGACAAGAAAGAAATGATAGTCAAGCTCCAATGCAACGGGTGCAGGACCAGTGTCTCCACGTGGAGCTCCAAATATTTTGAAAAAACTGGTTCTGGCAAACTGTTAAAGAGCCTTAAATGACCCCAGAGCAGAGGCCTCCTTAATATATGGGAAGCCCAAGGAATTTGAAGGACAACTGGTAATTATTACAGGGTTGGGAGGGAAACAGATTGAAGCTGTACAAACAGAAATGAGAATAGAAAACCTCCCACAATGACTGTATCCTGTCATGATTGTCCCCATCCCAGAATACATCATGGGGACAGGGATTCTAAAATGACTAGCATTGAATCTTCCCAATGGTCAGCACCATTTTGAAATAAAGAATTGTATTAGTGCTCCGACAATTTTAGTGGAAAAGTAAAAATGCCTCCTGTGCAGATTCCTGCTGCGACTGAAATAGTGACAACGAAACAATATAGGACCCTGGGGGGGCATGAAGAGATATCACGGACAATTAATGATTTATTGGATGCAGGAGATTTGAAGTCAGCTACTACAGCTTGGTACAATCCAATACGGTTTGTCAAAAAATGATGGGTCATGGAAAGAATTAAATAAGCACACCCCACCTCTCACAGCAGCTATATCAGGTTGTGTTGCTTTAATAGAAAAAGTTCAGAACCATTCCAGAACAGGGTATGCTGTCATTGATTTAGCTAATGCTAACTTTTTCACTATCCCAATTGCAGAGGAACGCCTTCACATGGCAGAGGTGACAAGATACTTTCCCTAGACTGCCTCAGGGATGGCTGCACAGTCCAACCATTTGCCACAGAACAGTGGCTGAACATCTGTATGATGCCAAACTGCCTCCTCACATGCAAATAGTTCATCACATAGATGACACTCTGACTCAGGGAAACTGAAGAAGACGTGCAACAAATGCTGGAATCGGTTGTGGATCAGATGAAATAGAAAGGCTGGGAAATTCATCCTACTGAAATTCAAGGGCAGTCTTAAACAGTGAATTTTTTAGGAATTCAGTGGCATTTTGGGCAGTGGGAAATACTACCCAAAACTGGATACAGAATTTTAGGTTTTGCAGTACCCTATAATAAGAATGAGGCACAACAGTTTAATGGGCTGTTCGGTTTTTGGAGACAACACATTCCAAATCGAGGACAAATTTTAACCCTGTTTATATACAAAGTGACAAGGAAGAGTTGGAGAGGGGAAATGAACAGCAAGTTGCCTCTGAATTAGCAACAAAGGCTCTTCAAAGGGCCTCAGACTTATGGCCCATGCAAAAGGGAGAAATGGAGTTAAACATATTTGTAAATGGGGCACGTGCCAATTGGAGCTTCTGGCAAGAACAGGAAAAGAAAAGGGTTCCTTTGGGTTTTTGGGGAAGAAAACTGTCATGTGAGGAGTAATGGATGCAGATTATCAAGGATAAATCAAATTCTGCTAAACAATGGTGAACAAGATTTAATTGTTCAATCCCATGACAGAATAGCACAATTATTGATATTGCAGGTTTTAAAAACAATTGTGAGAAAAGGAGATCCACCTCAGATCACCACTGTTCCTGGAGACCAATGGTTTGGATCCACCAGCATTAACAATCGAGCTAAAACACAAAGCCAAATGACCCACTTGAACCAGCTGAAATAACAGCTACAGGAAACAACAGTACAGTTTTAATTATAAAACCTGGGCAAGAAAAATAGGAATGTGTCCCCACAACTGTTATTTGCAAGAATAATTAAATAGTATATAATTTTATTGTACAGATCCTGCACTCTTGGATTTACCCGTCTACCACCACGGTCCATTTGGAAAAAGACACCATCCACGTGCCTGGATACGAAGACCGATGCGAAGAACAGCCTCACTCTGAAATTATCCCCAGTGCCTGCTGTCAGAGCTTGTGACCTGAGTGCAGTGATGACGTTGCTAATGTCACGTTGCCACTGTGACCAAGGCACAGGTTGGATGAACAGATTTATAACTTCAGGACAAGATTAAACGACTTTGCTCTTTCTTACTAACTGCTATGTGTGTCGAGACCCAGGAGGATGTGAATACTGGCTGTGGATGGCCTACCCCGTGCAACCCAAATGGTGGGACAGCAAAACGAGTACAGCCCATGAGGGAACAGAGCTCTGGACCCAGGCCAGCAATCCCTGCCATATACAGGAATACAGACAAATTATCAGAGAAACAGGGAAAAATACACAAAAATTGAAACACATTCAGATTACTTCACGTGTCCAGCACCAGATGACTCAAAGACCACACCTGCCACGGTCTTCCACAATGAGGCTGTGTCTATATGAGAATTAAGGTGCCTGATCAAGGTAAAGCTAATGGAGGAAGACAGCCCTCTGTAACTATCAGGATTTGGAGGGGAAGACGGATGTCTGTGTGGTTCAAGATGAATTCCACAACAGCCAACTGCATCTGCACCTCCATGAAGGCAGCTCTTCTGTCCCAAAAGTCTGTTGTCTACTCGACAGTAAAAGCATATTTCAGGTATCGCGGAGAAGATCTGGATTTGATCAAGGTGTCTGACAAAGATAAAACTAGTGGAGGAAGACACTCACCTGCTCCATCTCCAATGACTGAGCTGGATTTGGAACAGAAGAGGACATCTGTGTGGTTCAAGATGAATTCCACAATGGCCGACTGTACCTGCACCTCCATGAAGGCAGCTCTTCTTCTGGTGCAGGCAGACTCACTCTGCTGTGATCTGAAGAAAAAACAAAGTAAAACTGCCAACAGACAGAAGACTGGGAAGGCTGTGCAGAATGCATTGATTTTGTAGGGGAGAGTCTATGAAGGCTGCACACGTTCATTTCGCAGTTTCTTTTCGACCCTATTTACAAGATGTCAAGCATGAGCCCACTGGTGCATGTCAGCGTGTCTCTGTTTTAGTTCTGAATGACGCTGGCTCTACACGTACCGACTTCCTTTGGAGCCCAGCACACCTTTTACATCTCTGAAAACGATGTAGGGACATTTTCTTCAACGTTCCCTTTAGGATGCTTTGTTTACCAAGGCTTCAACAAGGTGTATGGGAAATGAAAAGTACAAAGTTCTAAAGGAGTGACCTGCACACCGTCTGGGTGCTGCAGCTGCTGGCACCACGCAGAGCAGCAGCACAAGGGCTGTTTGCAGGGAGCCGATCCAACTTCTCCAGGCTGACGCCTGTGTGCCAGCAGTGACTGCGGTGCTTTCCTCAAAGAGAAAAACCCAGCGAGGCCACGGGCTGCTCCGCCTCCAGCATCACATCCCGGTAGGACGTCAGTAATTCTCCCCTCGTTGACTCAGAGCTTCCCTTTCAACTGAAATCGGTCGAGTCTGCCGTACAGAACTCCAAAAGGACCCAAACGTTCTTCAGACCTTGATTTTACTCCGACGCCCGTTGCC